CACCTTTGGGGGTGCCGGTGTGGGGGTGCAGCACCAGCCGCACGTAGCAGAGCCCCCCGAACTGGCGCAGGCTCTCCTCCAGCTCCTCCTCCTCGGTGTCGAACGAGAGGTTCCTGGGGGGCCGGGGGCTCAGGGGGGTCCGGGGGCGCCCCGGGCGGGGGTCCCGGCCCCCGGCCCCCCACTCACCGGATGAACACCGTCCTGCCCTCGCCCACGTCCGACGGCCGCTGCCGGCGCTTCCGGGGGGGTCCCTCTGCAATGGGGGGGGTTTGGGCACCTGGAGACCCCCGGGGCACCCACAGACCCCCAGGGGCACCCCTGGACCCCCAGGGGCACCCACAGACCCCCAGGGGCACCCCCGGACCCCCAGGGGCACCCACAGACCCCCAGGGGCACCCCCGGACCCCCAGGGGCACCCACAGACCCCCAGGGGCACCCACAGACCCCCATGAGTGCTCCTGTGCCCTGTAAGACCCCTCAGACCGCCCCAAGCCCCTCCCTGAAACATCCCCAGACCCCTTAACCTCACCCACACACCCCAAAAAACCCTCAGGAGCCCCCCAGCCCAAGCCAAATCCCCCCAGCCCACCCCAAACCCCCCAGGAGCACCCCCAGCCCCCCCGAGAGCACACAGAACCCCCCCACCCCTGAGCCCCCGGCCGTGCCAGTGCCCAACGCACCTTCCTCATCCTCTTCATTCTCATCCTCTTCATCGTCCTCATCTTCCTCTTCTTCCTCATCCTTTTCTTCCTCTTCATCCTCTTCCTTTTCCTCATCCTCCTCTTCTTCCTCATCCTCCGCCAGCTCTTCCTCTTCTTCCTCCTCAGCTTCCTCTACCTCCTTCCTTTTCCTGTGCCCCGGCCCAGTCCTGACCCCTGACTCCCTTTTTGGGGTCTGCCGGGGCGGCTGCGCAGCTTCTTCCTCCTCTTCCTCCTCCTCTTTCTCCTCCTCTTTGTTTTCTTCTTCCTCCTCCTCTTCCTCCTCCTCTTCCTCCTCCTCCTCTTCATCCTCCTCCTCGTGTCCTTCCTCCCCCTCCTCCTCCTCTCCTTGCTCTCCTCCTTTTCCTGTGTTTTCCTGCCCTTCTCCCTCTGTAGGAACAGGGGTGGGGGGTGACAGTCACCCCTCTGTGGGGTCCCACCGCGGGTGTGGGGGTCTCAGGAAGTTTGGGGTGTTTGGGGGGCAGCTTTGGGGTCTCACCAGGCGTTTTTGGGGGTCCCTGTGTCCCCTGGTACTTGTCCTTGGCCACGGCCCAGTCCACGGCCAGGGTCCGCCCTGGGGAGCACGGGGGGGTCAGAGTCCCAAATTCCCGAGGGTCCCCCTGTGCCCCACAGCCCCCCTTCCCCACAGACCCCCCTGCACCCCCAGTGCCCCCCAGCTCCCACCGCTC